TAGGCAGATCCTTTGGGATATACAAACAGACGCCTAGTTTCCCTAAGCAAGATGCCGTTGTACTAAACCTGAGGCCTATAACTGACGTTTCTCCACTTTTCTGCAACTCATCTACATTTTGAAAAGTGTCTTGGGCTGGAGAGATGGCTCAGAGGTTAAGAGCACTGACTGCTCTTCCAGAGGTCCTGAGTTCAATTCCCAGCAACCACATGGTGGCTCACAACCATCTATAATGAGATCTGGTGCCCTCTTCTGGCATACAAGCATACATGGAAGGGATGTTGTATACATAATAAATAAATAAANGGTTTCCTTTGTTCGATTGTTACAAAGCTTGGTGGGACTGTTCACGTGTTGGAACATGCGTGGTCTTTGGAAAGAAACTGAATGTCAATTCACTGAGGGAAAAATGATTAGTGTAGATAGACAAGCTTGAGATATTAGAAAATGGTAAACTCAACAACAGAAGCAAATACATGCTTAGAACTTTGAGAGACTATTGTTGTTGTTGTTACTGGTTTTCCTGGAACTCACTCTGTAGACCAGCCTGGTCTCAAACTCACAGAGATCTGCCTGCTTCTGCTTCCCGATAGCTGGAATCAAAGGTTTGCACCACCACTGCCCAGCTGAGAGACTATTATTTTTTCTAATTGATTTTATTGAACTATATATTTTTCTCCACTTCCCTCCCTTTCTCTCCCCTCCCTTCTACCTTCTCCCATGATCCCCACCACTCCCAATTTACTCGGGAGATCTTGTCTTTTTCTACTTCCCATGTAGATTAGATCCATGTATGTCTCTCTTAGGGTCCTCACTGTTGTCTAGGTTCTCTGGGATTGTGAATTGTAGGCTCGTTTTTCTTTGCTTTCTGAGACTATTATTTTAAGCCACTAAAATTCTGATGTGTTAAAGCAGTTACAGAAAGCTAGCAAACTAGCATCTTACTATATATTCTGCATCCCAGAGGTCCAACTCAATCTCTCAGGGTGATGCTTGCCTGTCAGGAGCGCTGATCCTTAAAATATGTTGCTTTGCTTTTTCCAGTTCCTATAGGCAGTTCACTTATCTCAACCCCTGCTTCCTTCGTCCATCAGCAATGCCAGGGCTTAATTTCTCCCTGATGCTCCTGCTGTCATCAGAATTCTCTTTTTCGATCGCCCTGCCTTTAGGAACCCTTGTGACATCATCCTTACGTCACTTCATCAAGAATAATGTAGTGTGCTAGGCCCTCCCGTGCCGTTTCATCAGGATAGCAGGGATGGATAAGCTATATGGGACACAGATTTATTTCTTAGAGTTATGTAGGTCAGTGAGAGACAGCGTCTGGGGAAAACCTTGCTATACTGGAATCGTGGTAGACTAGAGAAGGGCAAGAGTGAATGACAGAGAGAGAAGAATGAAGGAAGGGGACCTTGATGAAATCCTGAGGGAATAGAAGTTAGGTTCCCTGAGAGACAGCTACGTCCGTGACTAGGTAATAAGATGGTGAACTACAAGATGGCTGGCTTCTTCCGTGCCCTTCTGATCTGAGACAAAAGCCTGGAGCTTAAAGCAACAGCTTTCTGTTTTTCTTCCTCTGGTAGAGACCCCTACTGATGGACTCACTCAACAAGTCCAAGGCCAGATCAGAACGTATTTACACAGTAGCTGTGGGCCAATGAAGCATCCTGTCTTTCTTCAGATTTGCCAGTGCTAAACTAGGGAAGGAGGAGCCTTTAAAAAATCTGAGCCCCAACATGCTGGGCTTCAGCTTCCCCAAATGCCTCTGCTGTGCTGGCTGTATATGTGGTTAGTGGTTTTTTTTTTTTTCCTTCAGTTTCTACTTGGTGGAATATTTGAGGAGCATTGGTGCTTACTCTTTTTTGAAAGTCTGGTAGACTTCTGTGTTGACCCCATCTGTCTCAGGACTGTTTTGGTTGGGAGACTTTTAATAGCTGCTTCTATTTCTCTACGGGTTATGGGTCTGTTTAAATTACTTATTTGATCCCAATTTAACTTTGGTATGCCATATATATCAAGAAATTCATCCATTTCATTTAACTTTTCCAGTTTGGTTCATTACAGACTTTTAAAGTATATCCTTAGGATTCTTGAATTTCCTCTGTTTCTATTATAATCTCCATCTTTTCTTCTCTAATTTTGTTAATTTGGATCTTCTCTCCATCATTTTGTTAATTTGGCTATCAATTCTGTTGATTTTTCTGAAAGAACAAATTCTTTGTTTCATTGATACCTTGTATTGTTTTTAAATTTTTATTTCATTGACTTCACTTCTGTATTTGATTATTATTTTTTTTTTGCCATCTACTATTTTTGAGTATTATTTGTTCTTGTTGTTCTGTGTAGCAGCAGGCCACTTGTTGGTTCCCAGCGACCCAGCTAGCTTAGACCCAAAATAATCACTTAGAAACTGTATTATTTAAATCACTGCTTGGCCCATTACCTCTAGCTTCTTATTGGCTAACACTTACATCTTAATTTAACCCATCTTCATTAATCTGTACATCACCACATGGTCATGGCCTATCAGCAAAGTTTAGCATGTCTGTCTCTGGGCAGTGGCTCCATGGCTTCCCTCGGGCCCCACCCTTCTTTCTCCCAGCATTCAGCTTAGTTTTCTCTGCCTAGCTAAGTTCTACCCTGCTATAGGTCCAAAGCAGTTACTTTACTCATTAATGGTAATCATAGCATAGAGAGGGAAATCCCACATCAGTTTTAGAGCTTGCAGGTGTGTTGCTAAGTTACTAATATGAGATCACTCCAGTTTTTTATTATAGGCACTTAGTGCTATGAGCTTATACTTAGAACTGCTTTTATTATGAGCCATAGGTTTGGATTTATTGTGTTTTTATTTTCATTCGTTCTAAAAGAGGTTTTTGATTAATATATATTTTTCTCTTTTTGGTTTTTCGAGACAGCTCTGGCTGTCCTGGACCTCACTCTGTAGGCCAGGCTGGTCTTGAACTCACAGATACCCACCTGCTTCTGCTTCCCAAGTACTGGGACTAAAGTCAGGTGCTACCGCCACCTAGCGTTCATTACCTTCTTAATGTCTGTCTTGACCCAATGTTCCTTCAGTTCTGAGCTGCTCTGTTTCTGTGAATCTTATATTTTCTGTTGTTGTTGATCAGTTATGGTGCAGGGCACTATTTCAGTTCCCATATACTTACAGAGGCTTGCTTTGTGTTCAGATACATAGCCCATGTTTGAAAAAGTTCCATGATCAGCTGAGAAGAAGGCGTGTTGATTTGTGTTTGAGTGAAATGTTCCAAGAATACCTACCAGGTCCATTTGATTTATGTAGATATTAACTCCACCATTTCTTGATGGAGAATCTTCGTCAGCCAATGATCTTTAAGAGGTGGGACCAAGTTAGGGCGTGACCTTTTGGTTCCCCTGGAGAAAAATGCCAGCCCTCCCAGGGTGTGCGCTCTCTCTGTGGTTCCCGCACAACACAGCTGAGCTTGGACTTCTCGTTCCTGTTTTGTGAGTTTGCCTCTTATAATAAAAAAAATATATAATTGGTTTATCTTGGAGTTAGCCTGGGATTCTTTGACCTGCATCAGACAACAATTTCTCTGTTTAGGTTGTGTCTTGATAACCCGTTACTTGTGAAGGTCAAATGCAATTTTTAGCTCTATTAATATTCCTTTTATGAACTTGCAGGCCCTTGTATTTGATGCATAAATAATTAGAATTGAAACAAATTAACAATCCTCTTGGCAGATTTTTTTTCTTTAATGAGCTTGTAGGGTCCTTCCCTATCTCTTCTGGTTGTTTTTGGCTTGAAACCTGTTTTGTCAGATATGAAAATGTCTGCACCTGCTTGCATTTTGGGTCCATTTCCTTGGAACACTTCTTTCCATCCTTTATCCAGAGGTGATATCTATCCTCAATGGTGTATTTCTTGGATGCCCCACTGATTTTGGACTCTGTTTAATGAAGTTTTCATTTCCAAAATTTTAATTTTATTTTTAATTATTTTTATAGCTTAAGTAAGTTTATCTTTTGTCTTCCACGTTGTCTTTCTTATTTCATTTGGCTAGTTTTCTAACTTTGAATTCACTTTGGAGTTTGTATTCTCTTTAATTTCATTAAGCAGTCTGATAATTATACTTTTGAATTTTCTGACAGGAATTTCATGCATCTCAGTCTTCATGAGTTAGTTTTTTTTTTGTCAATGGATTGTACTGCCTTGATTTTTTTTTTGTGTGTTTGCTATATCTGCGTATTGGGAAGTCATCTGAGTCCGTTGGTTAGAATTTTTTAACCATCCTTATTCTTTCAGTTTAAATATGTGCAGTGTTCAGGTGTGTCTGGTCTGCAGCATCACTGCTGTGCAGCAGCTCTGTCTCTAAAACTCGATTGCATGTGCTCAGTGAGTGAGCGCAATTCCCTACACTACTCAAGAGCAGACAGAACATTGATTAGCTGCAGAAGAAACTACAATCGTTTCATAGGCTCACTATGCAAATATTTTGATGCTGGATAAAAAAGTCATCATTATAATTTCAATAACCATCAGGCGTATATACTACATTAGTCACTAAGGAAGTCGTACAGGGGAAGTAGGCTGAATAACAATGGGGCTATTACCACAGTGGGAGAAAAAAACTAAGGAGGGGAAAGTAGACCTAAGGGGAAATTGGGATAACATTAAATACCATTACAGCTATGAAAGGTTATAGTGAAGAAGCAAGAGAGAAGGGTGTGGGGCTGAGAGAGAGAAAGGAGGCAGGAAGGAGGGGAAGAGCATAGTGCATAGAGAAGGGAAATGACAGTGTACACAATTGAATGGGTACTGAAACATTGAGAAGGATCATAAGAGCTAATGAACAACTGAAAAAAAAAACAACTAAGGCATGACTGTTGGAACATGGTTCAGGAGTCACGTGCAGAAAAATGCTCCAAGAAAACAAGGCAAGAGTCTTGTGATCTCAGTTTCTTCTAAACACAGAATTGTTCTTGAAATGTGTTTTTGTGTTCTTCCTGGGTGTGGCAGACTACTAGACTCCGTTCCTGGTCACGCAGAGGGCTGTTGTCTAGGACAGTGATCTGTAAGTTTTCCCCTTAAATAAAGAACCCTTTTATTAATCATAATTCCAAACTGGCGTGGGATTGTTTTGTGATTTACAATCTACACCTGGATTTAAAATCCACACCTCCAGGGCTCCACGAGCCTGGACAGTCTCTGCCCACCTGGTTTGTTCTGTCCTAAGTGGTTTTTAAATTCTCCATTGCAGCGCAGCACCCATGCAGCGCAAGTCAGAGCGCAAGTGGTTGCCAAAAGCTGCAACCCCTCGGGGCAACTCTGTCGTGTGGCAGCTTATGCGGCTTCTGGGTTGCTGTTCTGGGTTTCTTGCTCTGTGTATGGAATTTATTTAATTACATTTACTTTGTTGGGCAACTCATATTTTCCAGTCTTTAACAAATACCAAGGCGGATGCTGAAACAGGACCATTTCTGTCATCTTTGCGTTGGTTCTAGTGGCGACTTGGTAACAGCGCCACCTGCTGGACAACAGGTAATATGGCAGTTTTCATTTCCAATGCAACTTTTACTGCTTTCTTTACTACTACAATGGATTATATCATGCGGAGCTTATATGACTATGGGGATACTTCATTAAGGAAGAATATGGCACTCCTAGGAATGATACACTCATTACAGACTAATAATGGACGGCTAGCTGACAGGATTAAAATAATCAAAAATCAGAGGTTATCTGAACAAGTGGATACTATGACAGACAGAACTGACTCCATATCTAACATACTAGGAAGTTATCTGAGAGAATCCATACTGTTGAATTTGACATTCAAAAGTTATCAAAAAGTTTTGATAAAGTGACAGACAGAATGTACCTCTAGGATGGCAATCTACACGATATTCAAGAGAAGTCCAAGGAGGAGATACTATCTTTAAAGAAGAACATTAAAACCTTGAAATCACAGGTGCAGAATGAGGATCAGAGACTTGATGCCTCCATGAAATCAATATATATATGTGTGTGTGTGTGTGTGTGTGTGTGTGTGTTTCTGTGACTGATGGATTAATGAATATATTTAGAAGGACTCCCCAAAAGGGGAAGACAGAATCATACCTTATAGGCTGGAAAAGAAATATACCAAAACTCCCCCTAATAATCATAGCAAATAACCATTTAAAATATCATTGTTAAGAGTTTTTATGGAAGTTATGTTGTGTAAATGATTTGACCACTGAGAATTATTCCTTTTCTACCACTTCTCCCCTTTCTGGATGAGGGTGTTCCTGCTGGGGTTTGGGTCTGGGACAAAGCAACAAATGTGGGGAGAGGATGATTAGAAGGGGAGATCTCCGGGATCCACAGGAGATGGGAGGAAAAGAGCAGGGAAGGCTGCCAAGGGTGTTCTGCTGCTGAGTTCTAGGTGAGACTGGGGGACTGGATCTGGGGAAAGGCGGGAGAGAAGAGAGCATCTGCAGTCAGCCTACCTGTATTCCCAGCAGGTGTGGCCTATTGTTTAGCAGGAGGAGCCTGCTGGAGTTAGGGGTTGAAATACAGGGACCAGATGGGGGGAAGAGAGATTAGGAGGGGAAGGTGTATGGGGTAGAGAGCAGCTGGTGTTCTGTTGCAGAACTAGGGACAAGGCTGAGGAATTAAATTTGAAGGCGAGGTGGGAGTGGTGAGGATCTTCAGTTGATTTAACCCTTTCCCTTGTCTGCTTAGCAGCTATGTTCTCACTAAATGCCTGCTGGTATTGAAAGCTTGGTATCATAGGATGAGTTTGGGGAAGGAAAGTTGAGGGAGGAGAACTTTGTATTCTGTTGAAGATGGAGTCAGGGAAGAGAGACCACAGCAGGTTTCCTGCTACAGAGCTGGGGTGAGACTGGGTGGGAGCATTGGATCTCAGGAGCAATAGGTGAAGTGTGGTTCTACCTTCAGCATAGTTGTTGCCCTCAGAGAAGTGGCCCTCTGTTTCCATCAGTTACTGGATGGTGATATTTAAAATATTCATCAGTCTGACTACAGGGCAAGTCAAGATTAGGTCCCCTCTCCTATATTGCTTAGGGTCTTAGCTGGGGTCATCTTTGTGGATTCCTGGGAATTTCTCTAGAGCTAGGTTTCTTGCTAAACCTATAATGATTCCCTCAATCAAGATATCTCTTTTCTTGCTCTTATCTCTGTCCTGGAAATAATCAAACTGAGGGCTGAAATAAACAAAATAGAAACACAGAAAGCAACACAAAGAAACAGCTTGATATTGGCATAAAACGTTGACCAAAGGAACCAAATTGAAGATCCAGCTATTAACCCACTCACCTATGAATACCTGTTTTTTGACAAAGAAGCTAAAGTTATACAATGGAAGAAAGAAAAAAACCATCGTTAACAAATGATGCTGGAAGGACCATACATACTAATCAGAGGGAAAATCAACCAAGATGGCATTTCAATTCCTAACATCTATGCCTCAATCACATGAGCACCCAAGTTTCACTTGGTGAAACACTACTACAGCTTAAATTACATATTGGCCCTCACAAATTGATGCTGAGGGACATTAATACTCCACTTTCATCAACAAACAGGTCATCCAGACAGAATCTAAATAAATGCTGGTGCTGACAGACACTATACACCAAAAGTACCTAATAAATATTTACAGAACATTTCACCCAAACATATAAGAATATATATTCTTCTCTCCACCTCTCCACCTCACTTTCTCCAAAATTGACAACATCCTCAAACACAGAACAAGTCTCAACAGATAAAGGAAACTCCCTGCATCCTATCAGGCCATCACCAATTAGAGCTGGAGATCAGCATCAGAAACAACAGAAAGCCTACAAATGCACCTAAACTGAACTCTCTACTGGATGAAAAATGAGTCAAGACAGAATTTGATGAAATGTAAAACACAGCATACCCAAAGAGACAAAATAAAAGCAATGCTAAGAGAAAAGTGCCAATATAAAACAAAAAGGAGAACTCTCATACTAACAACTTAACAGCACACTTGAGATCTCTAGAACAAAAAGAAGTAATTGCACCCAAGAAGAGTAGATGGAAAGAAATAATCAAACTCAGGACTGAAATCAATAAAATAGGAATAAAGAGAACAACACAAAGAATCAATGAAAAAAAAGTTGGTTCTTTGAGAAAATCAAGAAGATATACAAACCCTTATGCAAACTAACTAAAAGATGGAGAGAGAATATCCAAATTAAGAAAGTCAAAAATGAAAAAGGAATAACTACAATAGACAGTAAGAAAATCCAGAGAATCTTAAGAACATGCTTTAAAAACCGTGCTCTAATAAATTGGAAAATCTAAAATAAATGAATAATTTTCTCAATAGGTACCACTTACCAAATTAAATCAAAAGTTCAGATAAACAATTCAAATGTATCTATAACTCCTAGTAAAACAGAAGCAGTCAATAAAAGTCTGGAAATAAAAGCCAGGACCAGACAATTTTAATAGAAAGAACATTGCCAAGCTCATTTTTATGAGGTCACGGTTATCTGATACCCAAATCACATAAAGCCTCAAGAAAGAAATTGAATTACAGGTCAGTTTACCTTAGGAGCATAGGTGCAAAACCACTCAATAAAATACTTGCAAGCTGAGTCCAAGAATATATCAAAAATATCATCCACCATAATCAAGTTGGCTTCATCCCAGAAATTCAGGGATGATTCAATATATGAAATTCAGTAAATCACCAAAAGAACAAGCTAAAAGAAAAATATGATAATCTCATTAGACACACAAAATGTTATTGCAAAATCCAACTTCCCTTTTATAGAAGTCCCAGGGAGATTAAGGATACAAGGGACATACATAAACATAATAAAGGCAATTTATAGCAAGCCTATAGCCAGTATCAAATTAAACGGAGAGAAATGCAAAGCACTTTCACCAAAATTGGGAGCAAGACAAGGGTGACCACTTTTTCCATATCTGATCAATAGAGTACTTGAAGCTCTAACTAGAACAATAAGATAACTGAATGAGAACATCAAAGGGGACACAAATTGGAAAGGAAGATGTCAAAGTATCTCTCTTTGCAGAAGACATGATAAAATATGTAACTGTTTCTAAAAATCCCACCAGGGAACTACTACACCCGATAATAAACACCTTCAGTGAAGTGGCTAGATACAAGATAGACTCAAAAAATAATAATAAGTAGATCTCCTGTATACAAATGACAAATGGACTAAGACAAAATTTAGGTAAGCAGCACCTTTCACAACAGCCTGAAGTTATAGAAAATATTTTGATATAACTCTAACCAAGCAACTGAAAGGGTGTATGATAAAAATTTCAAGTCTTTGAAGAAAGGAAGTGGACAAGGTATCAGAAAATGGAAAGACCTCCCATGCTCATGGATCTGTAGGATTAATATAGTAAAAATGACCATTTTACAAAAAGCAGTGTACAAATACAATACAATCCCCATTGAAATTCCAACACAATTCCTATTTTTATTTTTATTTTTCTCTCATACATTATATCTGGGCCACAGACTCCTCACCCCCTCTCCTCCCAGTGTTATGTCCCCACAACCATCACATCCTTTTCCCCCCGAAGCATACCTCCTCTTTTCTCCACTGAAAAGTGTAAGCCTCCCAGGGATATTCAGACATGGCTTATTAAGTTATTATAAAGCGAGGTACATCCCCTCATACCAAGGCTGGATGAGGCAACCCAGCAGGAAGAAAGGGGTCCTAAAAGTAGGCAAAAAAAGGGCTGGAGAGATGGCTCAGAGGTTAAGAGCATTGCCTGTTCTTCCAAAGGTCCTGAGTTCAATTCCCAGCAACCACATGGTGGCTCACAACCATCTATAATGGGGTCTGGTGCCCTCTTCTGGCCTGCAGGCATATACACAGACAGAATATTGTATACATAATAAATAAATAAATATTTAAAAAAAGTAGGCAAAAAAAATTTCAGAGACAATCCCTGCTCCCGCTGTTAATAGTACCACAGGAACCCCAAGCTGTACCACCATAACATATGTGCAGATGATGAAGATCAGACCCATCAGACTCCCCAAATGTGAGCACAGTATCTGTGAGCCCCATGGGCCCTTTTGACCCCTTTGGCTTCTACAATCCCTCCTAACTCTCTCTCAGCCCAGTGATTTGCTGTAGTTCTCCGTATCTGCTCCCATCAGTTGCTGGAAGAAACCTCTTTGATGACAATTATGCTATGCACCAGTCTCTTACAGAAGATAGCCAGAGAGCTGGTTCAGGTCCTGTATTCTCCATTACTGGGAGTCTTCACCAGGGTCACCTTCATGGATTCCTGTAAGTTCCCCTTCCATTAAGTTTCCCCCTTGAGCCTGAAATGACCCCCAATTCCAGTCACCTCTCCCAATACTCTTTCCCTCCAATACTCCCCACCTAATACCTCCTGTTCCCATCCCTATCTGCACCAAGGTCCACCAGTGAAATCTATTTCCTCTTCCCATGGAAATCCATACATTCCCCCTTGAGCTCTCCTTGTTACATAGCCTCTCTGGATCTGTG